TTTTTAATATCCCACTTTTATTGTATGCGCCCTATATGTTCCAATTATTTCATTTACATTATTTTCATTTACGTACGTATACGCAGCCTATTCATATTTAATTTTTAAATTATTAAACAATTTTTTTTTTGTATAAATATGAAAATATATTATGAATTTGTTATTCCATATATAATTCCCATAAAGATATGTCGGAAAATTTAGTTATAGAAAGTTAATATTAAAATAGTTTCTTTTAATGAAGTTTATAACTGACAGACTCGAAAAGCTGCAAGAGTCAATGTTATAAAAACATTTCGGATATTTCATAAAACAACGCTTTTTTGCGGCAAAATTTCGAAAAATATAAAAACGCTTTATTTTCGGAAAAATTAAAATGCCACTTAAATCCTTGCCAACCGCACTTCAAGGTATTGCTCCCGAATATGATAGCCTGCATGCAAATCCCATGTCATCTAAGTGACACCCTACGTTTTTCTACATCAGTTCTCTTCCTAGAGGAGAGAACAAATACTATAGTAGCTCAAATATCGTGTTGCTTGAATATTGTGACAATTCGATATGACTTGTTTCAGTGATAATTCAATTCTATTGAGCTTTACTAATTTTTAACAAGAGCACAAACTTTAATTAATATCATGATTAAAATTGGATTAAATATGGGCCCCCTTCTAATGAAAATATTTCAAAATCGAACATATGTAGATAAAAATAGTTCAATAAATTAATATCCAAAACAATATAACCGTTTTCGATATTTTTAGAAAAAACTATATGCATACATCCGTTTCCTGCCATAGAGTAGACAGTTTCTTTTCCCAAATATACATACATGATTTTTATTTAATATTCTGTCACGTTGTTTATATTGCAATTTACAGCTTATAGGACTTGTCATTCTTTAACAGTACAGGTTTTGGTTTTCCCCCTTTTCCTACTACTTTTTTTTTTACAAATGCCTTCTTTCCTTTTTACTAACGCAACTACAAAAAAAAAATTTATTTGTTGTGCGATAAAATCGATAGGAAAACAAAAATTGTCGGTTTTTTTGAATCATAACTACCGTTTGTTGTCATCAAATTGTTAAAAATATTATATACGGTGCAGGCAGTTAACATAAAAATAATAAAAAAAAATATGACGGGACGGCGTTCACCGTGTCATAAAACAATTACAAAAAGGGGAAAAATGAAAAAAGAAAAGGAAAGGAAAAAGTACCGTATATAGATTCAATAAGGGTTTTTTTTTGCAAAAACGTTTTTATAGCCTTAAAACATTTTGTTTTTATTTCCATCGTCTTTATCATTATTGTTCGTTTGTTTTCGTAGGCGGTTCTATTTTTTATTGTATTCGATTATTATTTAAATGGTGACAGAATTCATGCATTATCAAAAATAAATTAACTGCCAAAAAATTTGTGGTTTTGTCATTTTTAATGAGATTTATTTCAACAAGAATATGATGAGATCGTGAACGCGTTTTACATTATTTATATACATATATTATGTACATACATATGTACGCACATGAGTGATGATGACGATGAAATGGATGATAATTGTGTGTATCTATAAGTATATGAAGCGGATATATGAGAAATATGTGGAGAAATAAATTCAGAATAAAAACAAAATTCAATTGAATCACAGCTATTCTTAGGAGAAAAAAAAAATAATAAAATAAAAACATAAATGAAAAGTTTTCGGAATTCAACTATTGTGTTCATTTTTTTCTGTGTGGGAATGAGAATGGGAAGGAAATTGAGCTAAGGTAATATTCAATTATTTCACAAAACACTTTTTCTTTTTTGATTAATTCAATGATAATAGAAACGTTTAGTGAACTATTACTTCATTTACTCTACGTTTATTCATTGTCTGCTTTTTTTTATTCAATAAATAAAAAAATTCCCATGTCAGCAAAATTTCTTTCATTTCATTTGAGTGTGAGCACGATTTAAAATAATTTCATTACTTAATTTTATTATACACAATTTAAATTTTTAATAAAACCTAAAAAATTAAAAGAAATTTTCACTATTTGGTAAGAGACAACAATATTTGATAGAATTTCATTTAATGTTAGAAAACTTTATAACTAAAAATTGCTTATGAATGCAAAATTATCGCAAAAGATAGAGCGTTTCTGTTGTAAAATAATTTATATTTAATTCGGACCTGAAAAAAACCGAAAAAAGAATAGATATGGGTAAAAAATAAGCTCTTTTTCAGAATTTTACAATAACAGGAACAAGTTAAAAGTCAAAACGTTTTTGGGGATTTAAATCAACCACGAGTCTTCGAGAAACAAATATCTCAAAAAATACGAGTATTATATAAATTTCTGTACAACAATATTTAAAATCACTCCTTAACGTATTAAAATCAGGTTAATTAATTAACACACAATCATTTAACACTATATCATTTCGTTCTGATTACATGCAAGTATGGCTTATGTATGTATGTATGTGTATTTCAAGAGTAAAGTGATTTGAAATGATGTGGACAATTGCACATACAATAAACTACTATACAATTTATCCACTTGAAAGTTTTCAACCAGATGGAAGAATTTTCATTTTAATATTCTCGTATAAAAGAATACAAGTATATTTTTCTTAATACATTGAGTTCGAGTACAAATTGAAAATATTATGATAACCCCTCTATAATCTTGTTTAACATTTTAAATATTAAGAGGGTGTCAAAGGTAATCCTTTGGAATTAGTAAATTGATTTTTAATTTTGTTATTTTTGTGTTTTTTATTTTAAGTTGAATTTAAGTTGAAATTTTTCAGTAAATTTAAATTTAATAAAATATTTTAGATTTTAGTATAAATGAAGTTTTATTGTAAGAGATATTGTTTTAAAATTATTGCGATCACTTGTAATGTTAATTACAACGTCAACGTTGTAATGTTAATTACAAACGGCAACGCAAAATACTTTTGTATGGCATACATATGCTAAGATTGATGAATAGACACGCAAATATTTTAAAAGCAAACTTAGTGGCAAGCGGGTTTATACGAGTATAGTAGTCAGAAAATTAAGCCACAAATTCAGCAGATGAAATTAATTATTTTAGATTAAAAATAAATTTTATAATAACAAAATTTTTGAATATTTTTCTATAATTTATTTGAATAATTTAAAATTGTTATATTTGCAAATATTTTTTGTTGTTGCTTGATCAATATTTTTTCAGCAAAATAGAAAATAATTTCACTACAAATGTAAGGAATGTAATTGGAGGATTCATTCAGTAATTGGAATTCAAATACAAATGAATACTCCTGATAATAAAAATATAATTTTGAAAATCAGTAGAACACCTTTCGATTATGAATAACCAAGCCAATATTACCAAAGTCATTGAAATTTTCGTTTCATTGAAATAACGTTATTGTTAAATCGTTTTCAAATTTTCACAAAATATTTAAAATACCTCGAAATTTCTGAGGTACTTATTGCAATACATGTACACTACGTGGTTTATTCTTGGCGTATATGTATTACTAAAAGGTCCGCAATAATAAAAATTAATTAAAATTTATTGAAAAACTAAATGTGTGTATATGTAATTTATAAATAATTATGGTTTATATTGAGTTGTTATTAATTTAATTTACGGTCTGATTCCAATTCATATTCCAATTTATATATAATATATAGTTAGGTACAGAAAAAATGTACAAAAAAAAGAACTGGAATTCGAAATTTTCATAAAAATTCTCACGCTTAACAATATCCTAATCGAATTAAAATCAATATATTCGAATAGTATAACAAAAAGTAGACCATAATCCCTTTCATCCATATTCACCGAATTATACACATACTCTAAATAAAGTAAAGACATCACAATTTCATAGATATATTGCTCTTCCACAAGCCACTATATTGATTACAGATAATGGTATATATTTGTATATGTATGTACATATTAAAAAGGAAATATCAATATATTACAGATTTGAACACTTGTTCGTCATTATCTTGTACAAGTATATAAAAAAAGTAACTAAAGTACAAGTGTTTAGAAAAAAAAAAGTACAAAACAAATAAAATATTTTCATTCAAGCAAATTTTAAAATGTTTAACAAACATTCATTTTATACACGCAAACTGTTATACATATACACGTAAATTTTATAACAAAAGATGAAATAAAATATTGTTAACATCGGATTAAAATGTCAAAATTCTTCAAACCAAAAAAAAAAATCAAAGGACCCGTATTATATCAGGTTTAAGCGGGTTTCCTTATTAGCAAAAACATACAAGACAAAAAAATTAAAGAATTTATGCGGTTTAAGGATAAGAACTAATTATTTCTCATATATTCGTATATATTTTATATTGGATTGTTATATTGTATAAAAAATGTACACAAAAAATAATAACAAACATACTGTTCTTATACATATTGAAGCATGCTGAGGTTATACTATTGTTCCTTTTATAAGAATATTGGTTTTACTTCTCATTTCTTTTAATCATTAATCTAATAAAATACACAATATCATACAGATTTATTATTTTAATTTATAATATATAGACATTTTACAAATTTTGGATAAATTCAATCACCATAAATAGTATATTTTAATCGTATTAATTTAAACAATAAAAGTTATGAGTACTTGTACCTGTATATATACCAGCAAAAAGGATACAAAATATATTGCACAGTAGTGCACATGAACAATCTATTATTCTCATATAAGACGGTTTTAATGAATATTTATAAAGAATATGTACATATACATAATGGCTAACATCCGATTAGATCTACAATATTTTTTTTTATAATATTCAATAAAATAATAATTAAATTTTATTGTTTCCACTATACATAATATGTAATGTATATATACTTCAATATTTTATACTGAAGTTCTAAAGAAAATGAAGGGCAAATCTGCTATACTAGTATTAAATTGTATTCTGTATATATGTAATTATACTTTGAAAATTCAATATATTCTTATGTACCTGTGTTGGCGTTAAATGAATTAAACTTGCTAAATGTTCTCTTTCTGGAGCTGATAAGTATCTTTGTTGTTTAAATCTTCTTTCTAATTCATAAACCTGAAAGTATAAAAAAATAAATTGGATGAATGTTAATTTTAAGAATAATTCATATTAGGCGTACAAAATATTAATTAAAAGTAATAATTATGAAATAATATATGTACAGGTTCTAGCTATTTCCAGTTATTTAATCTTATTTAGTATTTTTATGACAAATATTTTTAATGGCAACCAAATTTAAAAAAAAAAAAATCTTTTATAACCTAAAGGTTTTTGAGAAAGTTCAACAGTTTGCTAAATTATCGCTAAGATTCGCTCATGAATATTGTTAAATTGACCCAGAAGTCAATCTTGAGAAAGAATATATGGTATATACTTGCGTCCAAAAGGATGACCAGACATCTCATCGGAATATTTCATCGTTGTAACATTTCATCATTATAGAAACTCATTATCGCACATGTCAAAACTATAACAATTCATCATTATAGTATTTCATCACCATATGATTTCATCATTGCATAAAGTGCATTTTGCAAACATAAGTACATGTAGATGTTATTAATTTATTAATATACTGAGCAATTTTGGCAACATTAATTATTATAGCTTATTATTATATAAATTTAGCTTTAATATCACTTTACCTGAAAGAGTACTACAAGAGATGTTGTCAGTTCGACAGTCAGCTAAGAATTAGGGCACTGCTTTTGTGCAACGAGAGTATATCAAATTATAGTCTGATAAGTACTGTGTGTACACTGACCGATTGATTGCTGCAAAATTTTTCATAAAATCATATACGAAGTCTGACGATAATCGGATGTATTTCCCTAGTTTTTCATCAAATTTAATCTGATATCAAATTTCGTTAGCAAATCAAATTTTCCTTAAGCTAAGATTTAATCTAAAATTTAATTTGATTTGTGGCAGGCACCTTATACGAATTTGTGGTGTAAAATCAAGTTCAATCTATGTTATACATTTTAGGAATCTTTACATAATTATTATGGTGGATCTATACAACAAAATTCTTGAATTCAATTATTTTTAATTAATTCGATTCCATATTCACAATAATAACTCCTGTCAATTATTATTCTCTATTAAGAATATTTTAATATTAAATCAACATTGTAAAATAAAATAAATTTCAGTGTTTTAAAATTAAAAATAATAAAAAAACAAAAAGACTCATTTCTAGTTTATCTTCTTTTAGAATCCTATATTGTTGACTTTATTTTCTCGTTTCAATTTAAAAACAATTAGAACAAAATAATTTGTACAGAATGTTGAGGAACACAACAGAGAAAAAGAAAGAAAGAAAGGAAAATTGTCTTTAAAATTAAAAATTGTTTACCAATTTGTTGAATCGTAAACAAAACAAAAAATATAAAAAAAAAAACAAGACAAATAACAGTTTACCTTAAGAAAATAAAAAACAAAAAATAAAACTTTTGTTATGTAATGTATTGTGTACACAAAGAAAACAAAAACTGAAACAAAACATGAGCACACAACAACACAAATTACATACGAACGTACACAAAGGACAACACCATAGTTCAGACATTTTGTTTTATATTTTAGATGCCATGAGACAAAGACAATATTGTTGCAGGCACATAAAATAAATAACAATAAAAAATTATGCATAATAATGATAAGACAATGAAATAGAGTTAAACTTCCTAATTATAAGACACAATATCAGATTGCAGCTCCCCGAAACTAACAATGAACCCGATGAATGGAACCAACACATATATTGTAATTGATGTGTATTTTAAAGAAAATAAAATTGTTGGTATGCCCGAAGAAAATTTTTGCTTGAACCGCCCCTAGTCGACTAATAATGTACTAAATGCGTATATAACTATTTTTTTGGAAATAGAGTACTTACACTTCAACCTCATCGATTTAAGTTTTCGCTTTCTTTCAATATTTTATGAAGCTAAATTAATTCATAGTTATAGTACAATAGTTATATAAATTCGAAATTCTATTGTAATCAATAATCTAACGAAATCAAGTCCTGTAAATTTCTAAAATGATAACTTACTTCTGCATTCTACAACACAAATTCAAGACATTAAAGATGAACAAATTTCTTAGGCTAAATCTTATTTTAATAATGTTCGACTGTAATTGTATGTTTCGAAAATTACGATTGTAACGATCGCATGTAAACAATACATCGTAATCATGAAAATTACTGTAATCATAATGATAAGAACAATTTCCCGGTAATTTTTTCATACTTCTGTAGTTCAGTTAGAAGAGCGTTCGCCTTAGGAAGCGGTTGGACACCGATTCGATTCCAATTCTAGGAGAATAATATTTTAATTTTTCTATTTTGCTTTGTTACTTTAGTTATGTCATCAATCTGTTCTACATTTGTATAAAGGAATTTCTATTATATTCTTACAGAATTTTTTTGTTTTTCTACAAATATTCTTCATATATTTATAGAAAATGCAGAACACTATAATGCCGGTGTATTATATTTTAGATTTCTGATATTTTATAGTACAAAGTAAAAACTTCTAGAAAGCGTACTTAGCCTTAAAAGCGCCTCATTAATCAGTTTATTTGTATATTAAATTAGAATGTTTTCAAATTTTTTAAATTGAAAATTTCGATAATATTCGAAAATAAAATTAATATTCAATTTTAAGTGTTTTCAACGCCTATTCACTTTCATAATAATTCCAATAATTCTTTTGCAATTCTGTGAAAATCGGACTGAATAATTATTGTCCATCGCTGTACATGAAATGTACAAGTTTAACAAAAACATCATCAAAAAGATTTATTTTTATTGTCTCTTTTATTTTAAATTTCTAGAAAAAAAAAAAAGAAAAATATAAATTTTTAAATGCATCGCAAAGCGCAGTGAACAATAAACATTGCTTTTCTTTTGTTTTTACTTATAATTTTTTTACTATTTTATATAAAATATACAAAAGGAGCGCATTTTTATTTTGTTTTAATAATGTGAAGATAAAAATTCTATTGCATTCTGTTTACAAAATTTCCCTAACTTAAAATTTCTCTAGCTTAATGACTTTTAGTTTAATATTTTATATTTCACTTTTTTTCACTTCTAAATCGCCACTACTCAGAGACATAAACAAAATTTCTATTGTATTTTCTTAAATCTTTCTATTTTTTTCTATGGTTCTTAAAAATACTTTATAACACATAAAAAATTAAGTTCTTTTTTTTCTTCTTATTTTTTTAAGTAAGAACCCTTAATTTTTAATCTTAATATAGTGTACTACACAGAATAGATCTTACTTTGAGTATTTTTTTTTTATAAGAAATTTAAAATAAAATATTGTAGAAATGGAAATTAAATTTCCGAAATGATAACTTCAATAATTTTAAAATTTTAACCAGACAGAATAATGAAAGAAAATTGATTTGTTTCCAGAATTGAAAGAGAATTTATTTGTTGTAAATTATAAATATTAATTATGAGTACAGAGAAAAGTTTAAAAATATTATTGACTTGTTTTTATATATCTCGCCTTTTTTACTCGCTAAATGAGAAAATAATGAGTGAGCACCATATGTTCGTATAATGTTATATTTAATTACTAGTCACACGCACCCTGTCCTTAAAGACGTCAAGTTCATTCGATATTTTTAAGAAAATTGAAATATTATTGAAAAATTCCGATTTAATAGTTAATAAAACAGATGCGCAAAAGTTCGACATACATAATAAGATTAAACATAATTTTTTATTTTATTAGCTCCGAATAACAAAATTCATGTGTGATTAATCCAAAACACGACAAATAGTGCTTGACTAGCCGCACTACGTAACTAAAATGCTAAATTGCCAATATTTTAAATTAAATTGCACGAATAATATTTGCTTTAAAAGTTTTAATAATTGCTAATTGTGAACCCTATTAAAATTTACAACATTTTCCTATCATAAAGCGTTTCAGTCTGTATATATTTTGCATTTATTGCCAGTTATCAGACTCTATAATAATGGTTAAAAGTAAACGTGGCTGAAACTCAAGATGTTAAATTAGATTTTATTTTCATATAAGTCAGTTATGAAAAGCAAGAAAATTGCAACGCAAATTAACAATATAATATCAGGGGAAAGAAAAATACTTCTATAGAGGCAAAACTAAAAATTTCAAAGTTTACTTAATTATATTGTTAAATGTAAACATTAAGTGTTTTCACAGCAAATAATTCACAATAGTTTACCATAATTTAATATTGAATTTTCTGTTTAATCAACAAATATTGAATTGCGTTTAAATATTTTATTTGATTTATTTTCTATACTTATATACTTATATATATTAAAGTATTTTGTGTACACTGAAACGTTGAAGAATTTCAAATATTTTTCTTTTGACATGCTTTTTTGAATTCTTGAAATTAATTATGCGTCATCTATGAATATATTTTTTAATAATCAATATTAAAAGAAACATTAAAAAAATTTGAATTTTAATTTTTGCAATATTTATTTTAAAATACATTATTTTCATTTTCATAAGCTATTTAAGAGTCTACTAAGAAATGATTATTCTTTAAAATTATTTTCAACGAACGCCTTGTTATATGCAATTTAATTTAAAATATTCATGTGAAATTTTTCTTTTAAAATCTAGTTCCTGTCTCATTGCAAGAAACACAGTGCAATTCAATTGATTAGAAATCAATTACTACACGAAATATTTTATATAACATTGGGGCAGAAAAATCATATAGGTAATGTTACATCTTTCTTCTTCTTTGCAGTCAAAATTTCGAATTATATTCATTATATAAGAGTTTTTACATGAATAACTTATTTTAATATGCAACACATATAATATGACCCATTCACATAAAACTTTTATTACTATATATGTAAGTATATATGAAAGAATCAGAGCTACTTTTTAATAAAATAAAATCTAATTACAAATATAAAACTTTGTTAAAATAAACTCGAAGTATATAATATAAAATAAGGAAAGTAAAAACAAAAAATTAAACAACAAGTTTCGAATTGATAATATTAAAAATTTTTTTAT